TCCTTGGTAGTAAGTAGTCCACCCTTCATATGCATTGGTCTTCAATGTCAGCCATGTATACTTTGTGTTTGTCCTTCATGCCCATGAGCTCAGTATTTACACACACTGGTCCCCACAACCTTGCATAATGTCCTGTCACACCACAGAGCTTCTGTATGGCTTCTGGTACCCCCCTTTGTGATCCAGCACCTTGATACTCACAAGGGTTTGCTGAGATGCAGAATCTATGACAAAGTTGCACTTTTGGCCATCCAGCTTTCCTGACACACAGACACTATGTGTACTTGGCATTTTACACCTAGCTGTTGGGGCTTTCACAGTGGGGGTTGATGGGCATCCCTCAGCACCAACCGCTATTGGTTTCCACGAGGCTGACTTATTGGTAGTATTCTTCTTACACTGGCTCCTCATATGTCCTTGTTCTCAACAGTTCCAACAACCTTTCTGGGTAGCAGTTTTTCCTGCTGTGGCATCTCCCCTGTGTTGAAGTTGCCGACATTAAGCTCTCCTGTGCCCAGGTTTGTTACAGTGCCAGCAAAGTCCCTCAAACTTCTCTGAAAGCTGCCCTTTTCTGGCCTTGAATCCTGATGACTGTACCAACCTTGGTACCTCTGTGCTGGACTTAATGTAGGACTCGAATTCAAGAGCTCTGGCCATTGCATCCTGCATAGTAGAGGGGTGTGCTGGCTTTACTTGTATCTTCAGTTGTGGACTGTCCAAGGCATCTACAAACTGATCCCTTAGCAACAACTTGAGGACATCGGGTGGTGCAGTTGGGTAGGCCTTGTGTGCCATACTTTCCAAATCCTGTGCCAGCTCTTGCAGGCTCTCCCCTTTAGCACGGACTCTCGTCCTAAACCTAGTTCTGTAGACTTCAGACTGATTTTGAGTTCCATACTTGAGTTCCAGAGCAGCTACCAGTGCTCTATAGTTATGCTTGTTGTTTGCTCATTCAGGCTCATTGCCAGGTACACTGCTTTCTGCTCCTCTGTCCATCCATTCATTTCTGCCAGGAGCTCAAATTGTGCTCTATATGCTTCCCACGGTACCTTCCCATCGAATTCCTGTGGCTTCCTTCGTACTAGATCACTATTGCTGACACTCATGTCTGGAATCTGACTTTTGGCAGGACTGAATATGTTTGCATTAGGGTTTAGCTGTGGGGTCTGGAAGAGGCTTCCTGTTGTCTGGGGCTGATTAGGTCCATGGTTAATATATCCTACATGTGTAAAAGACAGTAAATCGTTCTTTAATGTATTTAATTCTCTTTGAAATTTACTAATGTTTTCCATTTGTACTTCTTGTCACTGTTGTTGACTTTCCTGTAGTTGCTGCTGACTTTCCCACAACTGTTGGAGACTTTCTTCCTGTTTCCTTTCTTGTTCTATTTGCCACTGCTGTAGTCTCTCTTCTTGTTTATTTTCTTTCTCCTCCAACCACTGCTCTAGTCTCTCTTCTTGTTATTTTCTCATTCTTCTTGTTTTCTTTCTTTTTCCTCCACCAAATGCTGTAATCTCTCTTCTTGTTTCTCTTCTTTTTCCTCCAACAACTGTTGTAATCTCTTTTCTTGTTTATCTTCTCGTTCTTCTTGTTTCTTTTGCTGTTTTTGTATTGCTGCCATCAAATCTGCTAAGCTGTTGTTTGATTTGCCACTTCTCGTTTCCATCTTCTTCTTTTTTCTTTTATCCCACTC